AAACTAAATACAGAACTGCAAACTGGTGGCCAATGCAGGGGTAAAGTTCTACTACTTATGTCAGCACCTCATTCAACTTCTTGCTGCTGCAGTTGATTGAGGAGATAGACAGACCACCAACAAAAAATAGGTATGCCCCGTGGTGGAAGAATTCACAAACAGTATCAAACTTGGATGAATAGTAGTATACAAGGGAAATAATGCAAAACAGCGGGAGGAAGAAGACTGTATGTCCCTTCTTCTAGTAGTGTGAACAATCCAAGTCCTGTGCCAGTGGAAGTACTAATAGAAGAATATCACTAGCAARAAACAGCAGGTCTTGAATTACTGGATGGAAGTCAAGTATGGTATCCAGCWGGGTGCGACTCAGCAGCGGACTACAAGCATTCACTATCTGAAATACTATGAATTATAAGTTATTGGTCTGTGGAAATATCCGTCCCAAAATACTTTAATGAGGAAGCAACCGCCATCCCCTCCCTGCAACAACAATCATCGTCCCAAAGGATGCAACTCTTTCCCAATCCAAGAGTACCATTTTGGTGCGTGACAAAATTCTATGTTTCTATTTCAAAAAGAATTACTGCAGGATATTCAACAGCGTGAAAATTCCTAGCAYGAAAAAGCAAGAAGCTGCTTCGAGCGGTCCCRTCCAACCCTATGACACTGCTGCAATCTTCGAATGTTTGCCCGGGTTCACCAGATCGAGTACCTCGGAAACATTTGTAACATCTGCCTTCCGAATCTGGTGAATATTGTCRAAAATTCCCTTGCCGATGAAATCTGCTTTGTGCGCCAAGAAGCAAGCAACATCCACTGCTTTCTCGAGATGAAGGCTGTCTACTTTTTTCATTTTTTTCTCCTTGACTTCCCCGCCGTTTTCCGTCTTCCCCTTTCCAGCGTCTTTGTCGCGAGAAACGTGAGAAAGTTGCTGGGTATCGACATCGAAAGTCCTTAGATCAATGCCATTCCGATACAGACTAAATAGCATGCGTTGCATATGGGCTTCACCGGGACGGTAGTGCCCGGAATGCGGATATAATCGAGTCAGATAACCTTTGCTATCGGTAATGAAGATCCCTGCCGATGCAACTGCTTTGCCACCAAAAAAAGAAGAGTGATGAAATCGCTGTTTCGAGTGGCCGGAAACAGACGTGATTTTCGGCGCACCATACGTGACATTGTCCCGGAGTATAAAGATCCAACCCGTCGGTCCGGTTTGAACCGGATCACCGTCTACATTGAGGACAAGACCGCGGCCATCCTCGCCGGGAATTATATCGAGAGCGTATCCTTCGGTTACTTCGTGGTTCGCAATGTACAGCACCGTATCCGAATCCAAAACAGACCGAGGACACTCTTCTAGATTTGGAAGAGGTTGGCCGGCTGCTTCGCCCTTGGAATCAAGCCAGTCAAAGAATTGGTTTGTAGGAAAGCCCAACCGTTCCCAGAAACGATAGTACAGACGTAGATTTTTCCCGTAACGATGATACTTGTCGCTGACCTCCAGCCAAGCCTTTCTATGCAGCTGTGCGTGATTCCCTCGCTGGAGACCACGTTTTGTGATTACAGGCGGATTCGCACATATTCCCTTGTACACAAAATTGCTTCTGTCGTCGCCTCCATCCGATAAGTGGTTCATAGAGCTAAACTCAATGTCCAGCGACTTCGTCCGTGCTTTTCGACGATGACCRAAGCTCAGTGAATTGGTGCTTGAAGATTTCTTTATCGGTGTTTCGTGCTCGATTTGAATCTTGGGTTTTGTTTTTTTGGAAGCCATCGGTGAAAGTCCAATCAGGTATTCCGACGACAACACACTTTCGTGAAAGGAATGGTTTAACGCCGCTTTCTCTTTTGATTCTTCAGTGTCCTCCTTGTCGATTTCGTCGTCATCGTCRTCATCATCRTCGTCGTCAATCTCAGAGTCATCAATGATGCAAAGGTCGTCTGGGTGCATCGAAATGCGTTCGCGCACGGATTGTGCAAAAAGGAGGGCATCGCTAACCCGTCTCCGTTCCGCATCTTTGTCGGTCTGTGTCAGTGACACCTCTTTGGCCGTAACATCAGATGGCTTTCCGTGTTCCCGTCCTTCCCGTTTTTCGCGACTGTTATTCTGTTGCAGATTGGTATCCAGCATTGCGAATTGATCACAAGTCGAGCCGTCGTCCCTTGGCTCGRGTRTGTGGTTCTCKTCTGCCTCTCCCGGCACAGTGCGAATCTCTCCCGACAAGAGCTTGCGAATGCTGCAGTCGTGATTTCTGCCCGGTGTGGAAGGAACCGATCGCGGTTCATTTGCTCCCAGCTCGCTGTGGCTAAGACCCGATGCATTYAAGGACCATGCATTTCCGACGCTTCCCCCGCTATCCGGTACCGCACTGTCCTTCTTCTCGTTGCCCCTGAAGCTAAAACTCCTACTTATATCGCAGAACTTGTCGCTGCCATCTTGTTTCATCACAAAAAGTTCTTTGGTGGAAGCAAGGGGCATCTCCATGAAAGGGACGTCCTGCATTGGCAAGGAGCGGTCCTTGGGTCTCAGCAATGGAGTTCCGTCGGGAGTGTATTGGGAAACTTGGGAAGAGGCGTAGTGCATCGACTCTAGTAAATCGGCGTCTTCCTCCCGCATTCTAGGAGATATTGATCTAATAGAAGCACCRTTCACATGTGCTATGCTGCGTGAAGTATCGACCTTCATGTGACTCGGATCCTTGCTGGACATTCGGGCCGAAGACGGYCCGTTCCACATCTGGAGAGATTCTGTTTGCCGTTGTTCTTCRACGCGGTCTTCCTTCATAGTTTTTCGAGGTATTCTAACTGACGCAACTTCTTCGAGATCAAATTGGCGAAAGGAATAGTGGAATCAGGTGCGTTGTAATAGTATACTAACAACGAATCGGTAGTCGATTGAATCTTCTTCGTTRTTTTTAGTTTCTGTTTCAAATGAATGACAACGAGATCTGGTGTCGCTCGAATCTCTGACTGAATCTCACGAAATGAATTTTCGGCCGGTAGACTCGAAGACCCTCTTTTTGCTGCCCTGGACAACGGAACACAACCAAAATGTACCTGTAAATTTGTCATCGACATCGACAGGTCCCTCGAGAAATGCAATCGAGGAAAAATTTAGCTTTTTCCAATGCCGGTTTTCAGTCACGAGTCACTGATGGCTTGTGTCAAMAGAACCGGACACACACCCAGTTTCTTCGAATTGCGAATGTCCGAGTTGTACGTACCGTCCGTACTGTCCGGATCATAGTACAATACGTACTGTACGAATTTCACGTTCGAAAAAAATCAAAACGTCACGCAGTGTACCGGTACGAGTACGAGTACCGTTGTAAGAGTACGAGAACGTACTGTACTCTACGTCCTGCCTATGCGCATGACACACGTGCTCGTGTTCAACTTGAAACTCGGACGCATCTTTTTCGAGACGCCTGACAGATGATGGTTGATTGTCGACGAAGAGGGTGAAAACGATCCCATCGCGACAWGTCAAGTTACACCATCGGTTGGCACCTTGTACCGTACCAAGTACTCTGGCTCTTACCTGATCTTGATCTTGATCTTTCCTTTGGCCTTGTCCACACCCAGAAGTACAGACAGAGGCACCCMGCACTTCGTACCAACCAGATCCTTTCACAAATCTACAGCAAAATCTCGGTTATTGCCGTTCGATCCGATAATTGAAAASAAAACAACTAGCCACGAAAATGACGACCCACCACGGATTTGGGAGTGCCCTGCTGAGAGGCAGCGTGCATGCCCTCGTCTTCCTGCARGTAGCAGCTGCGTTCCAGCACCAACCAGCACAGCATTGCACGAGGGTGAACAATTTTGAAACGAAAAGAACAACTAGTCTCGGTGCTGCTGCCAGCAGACAAAAACGAGTTTCGAACCTCAAAGACTGGAGCAAGAACGAGGCAGGCATTCAGGTAGCAAGTGTTCTGGAGATAGAGCAATCAAAAACCACCGGCGGGATAGGGCTGGTGACGAGTGGCACGGCGAGCAGCACGGACGAGAACAGCGTTGTGGTAACCGTTCCCTCCTCGCTGGCTCTGTCCGTAGAGCTTCCTACTGGTGGTCCCGACGACCGAAGCGTGATCAARGRGCTGGTCGAGGACCGACAAGCCTTTCGCTCGCTGCCGTGGTTTGCGCAATTTTCGGCGTATCTCTACAAGCTTGACAAAATCTCACCCAGAAAACTGGAGGGAGACGTCGATCTGCAGCCGTGGTTGGATTCCTTGCCACGAGACTTTGGAACACCAATCCACTGGACGCAACAAGAACGAGAGGAACGGTTGCAATATCCACACATGGTAGAGTCGGTCCAACGRCAAGAAAAAACCTGGAACGACATGTACCAAAACCTCCAGTCTTCGGGCACGAGACTCATGAAAGACATGTCGTTCGACGACTTTTTGTGGGGTTGCGAATGTGCTCGATCCCGTGCGTTTAGTGGCGGGTACACCGGTTCCCCCTTTAATCCACTCGTTTATGTTTTCACGCTGGTCTTGGTTACCGCCTATGTTGGCCTCAACCTGGGAACGCTAGAGCAAGCCGCCAATGGCGCTGGGCTCGTGTTTTGTTCCTCCGTCCTGCGGGACTTTGTCCTGCCYAAGTTTTTCAAGAACAAGAAATACGTCATTTGCCCCGTGATCGACATGGCGAACCACGATTCGATGAGAACCACCGCCAATGTTGCGTATGAATTCTTCGCCAATGCATACAGCTTGTCGACAACGGCCGCGGTTCCTTCCAACTCCGAGGTCTTTATCAGCTACGGCAGCCGATCCAACGACCAGTTGTTGCAGTATTACGGTAGGTATCGATCGAAAAAACTACGCAACCAGTTGTGAAGATCGAAGAGATTTTGTGTGTGATGCGTTTGCTGAATTTTCGAGCTTTTGCGGTGATATTGTGTCGCTCAATCATTTTCGGCTGTTTGCAAATTCTCAGGTTTTGTCGAACAGGATAATCCCCACGACACRTATGTCATGCCACCGCTCCGAGAGTGGGATATTGAGTCGCTCGAAAAAGCATGCGGTGGAACCCCCTTTCCTTTGGATCGGTTACAGAAACTCGATCGGGCCGGATTATTGGGAATCAGTTTGAACGACGATCTTGCTGATTCGTCACCGGCAGACGACGACGAATCCAAGGAAGAAGGAGTGACTTCCGAAGGCAATCCCCGGGGRGGTGTCGTGCTAAGTCGAGCCGTGGGAATCGATCCCGCGGTATTCCAAGCTCTGAGAGCACTCGTTTCAAATGCCCAAGAGTGGGAAGCTTCTGGAGAGGCGGTTGGTAACTTTGCGGCCGAAGTGAGTCCAGAGAACGAGCAAAGGGCTCGAACGGCAGCCCGAACGGCAATCGAAATGGAAATTGCATCGAAACCAACCACCCTCSAAGAAGACCGTGAACTCTTGAAACGCTTGAAAGCTTCTAAAAATGGATTACAAGAACCTGACGAGCTAATGGCCWTAATGTTCCGTATCGAAAAGAAAAAATTGCTGAAAGAGACTCTCGACAGATTGCAATAAAATAATGGTCGAAAGTGACGCTAAGCTATTCAATARAGTAAAAACATTATTACACCATGACATCATTGTAGTCTTTGACACTCGCAGCTGGGTCGTCCGATTGAGTAAGCGCACTAATGACAGCGATGCAATCGGCGCCCGCTTCCCTGTTGTCCGATGCCGTTTCCAAGCTATTGATCCCGCCTATTGTTACAAACGGCATGGACGGAGGTATCAGTTTCCTCCATCTTCGCACCGTCTCGAGACCCTGTGGGTAGAATCCTACCTTTTTTGATTTCGTTGCGTAAACCGGCCCCATGCTAATGTACGTGGGATTGATGCCAAGGGCTACAGCCAACTCTCCGTAGGAATGCGTCGAGATTCCCAGGGCCATCTGCTTTGATTTCAGTCGGTCCAATCCCCCGGCGAGCATGCATTTCACCAAATCTTCCTGTCCGACATGAACACCGAAGCACCCAGCTTCCACCGCAGCTTCCCAGTAGTCGTTTATCCATAGGTTGACACCATTTGATTCGCAGTATCTTTGGCACAACTTTACACGTTCCTTAATCTTCACTGGGTCTTTCTCGTCCTTGATTCGCAATTGGATATCGGTAACGCCTGGTATTTTTGAAAATTGTTCGACCTGCTCCACCGTGTCGACAATTGGAAGGATTCTACCAAGTGTAGGAATTTTTTCCCTTTCGTTGTCGTCACCATTCGTGGCTTCCTCTGCAGCGGCCGAAAAGGCTCTCATGACACGAAAGTGACCCTTATCTGATTTCGAGTTGCTCGTTGGATCGATCGCAATGCTTGGAAARTTTTCCCAAGACGAAGGAAAYTCGGTTTGAGCAACGGGCCCAGGACCAGATCCCAGCTGAACTCCGCTCTGGATACCTGCAGAGACGTATGCTTTTGCCAAACAGCATGCGTCCGCAATTTCAATAGCGCTTGTTGCTCCCACCTGTTCGCCTTCTGACTCGCCGCGATTCTCTTCTCCCAAAGCTAGAGCCGAAGCAATTGCTGACGACAAGGTGCATCCCGTCCCATGGGTATGCGAGGTGTCCCATCGAATCGAACGCATCCAGACGCCTCTCGTTTTTGTCGAGGATGCCGAAGTGTCGCACAACCTCTCATCCCCAGCTGTTGGTGCCGGATCCGATGAGAGCAAATAGTCCTGTGCATATTCAAGTGTGCTTTGAACTTCTGATGATGGCGATTGCGATCCAGATACAGAGTCCTCTGTGGACGACGACGAYGACGATTCTTCCAAAAGGGTATGCCCACCTTTGATCAGAACAGAACGACATCCAAGTTTCAGTAATTCTTGGGCTCCGTCTTCGATATCTTTCGGTGTCTTCARTTTTYGTTGAAGCAGAGCCTCGGCCTCGAATTTATTGGGAGTGATAACGTCTGCATATGGAAAAACGTGTTCGATCATTGCGTCAACGGCATCGTCGTCCAAAAGCTTCGAACCCGATGTACTGATCATTACAGGATCTACTACAATCCAGACCTTCTTTCCTTCCCTCCCATCGTATATCTCTCGCAGAACTTTTCCCACTACCTCGCACAATTCTCGGGTTCCCAACATGCCGATTTTTATGGCCCGTGGTGGCAAGTCGCTCTTCAAAGACTCGAGTTGTTCTTCCAGAAAGGAACATGGTGGGACGTGGATGCCCGTGACACCTTTGGAATTTTGTGCTGTCAARCAGGTGATGGCACTGCATCCATGGCAACCCATAGCGTGAATTGCCTGTAGATCAGCTTGTATACCGGCCCCACCTCCCGAATCGGATCCGGCAATTGTRTAAACAATTGGGGGTGTCGCTCGAGATGGTGGCTGTGCTGTATTCAAGGATGCTGCGAATCCTGAAGAAGCAATTGCTCCAAGCGAAAAATAGCAAACCCAAAAGAAGGGAATCAATCGATCGTACGTCATGATGGGCGAACGGTACCGGGAACACCACAGGATACTGAAAATGCGTTTGTCAATCTTGTAGTAGGGACTGATACCACAACGACCTTCGATTTGCAGTCAGTAGCAATAACGTTKTTGCTGATCAGTAAGAAGGTAAAAATTAGGTATGCTATCGATACCTGTCTCCCTTCAATAACTGCTAGTCTCGAAACAAACAAGTTCGGTGTAGCAAGATCCTTTGATAACTCAAATCGTAAGATGCAAGACTACCGTATGACAACCAGAGTGTGATACTGATATTGTGGGATGAACAACAGAGTCAGTGTGAGTACTCGTACCATAAATTACGGTACGGTACGATTTTTGTTTTTGGATTCGTCATCGGAAATTGATTCAAAATTGAACTCCGGTTCCCAAAAAAAGCCGATTTCAATTCCGTCCGTACGTCGTAGAYGTAGCTCCTCAGTTGAGCCGATGTCCAGTCAAAAAAAGACKTTACTTGCGTTTTTCGCGCGCGTAATGATTGATTTTATTGAATCTGCGGGCACTTTTAAGGTTTTTTACCCACCCATCTCTCGCGAACGACCCCGGATTTATTTTATGATGGACTGATGTAGAGACCGTTGATGACAGCTAGCAACGACAGCAAAATCGCCCATCAATCACACCTTTTTTCGAGTCAAAAATTATCCTACCGTACCACCGTGTTCTTTCGTGTCTGGGCACTTTTTGGTAAACAACGTTAGCACCACTAGCGGAAACAAATTATAAGGGAGGAAACAATAGGATTGCATCATGTGTGGTATTGTGGCGTTGCTGCTGGCAGACGAAAATGCTTGGGTGAGTTATTTCTTCTCAGCTCCATGCGMGGTGTCGATATAGTTGCTGCATACCGGTGCCGTTTGCTGACAATCAATGTGTAACAAAATGGCTTACCTAATGMCTTGTGAAATGTACACCGATATCTTTCTACTTTTGAAATAACAGGTGAACCAACTGATCTTCGACGGCTTGACCGTTCTCCAACATCGCGGCCAAGATGCTGCCGGAATGGTAACTGCCGATTGCAAGCGTCTTCACCTTCGCAAGGACAACGGATTGGTHCGGGACGTCTTCCAACAAGAACACATGACGCAACTGAGAGGCAACATCGGTCTTGGTCATGTCCGCTAYCCTACGGCGGGATCGAGTTCTTGCGCGGAAGCTCAGCCCCTCTACACTAATTACCCTCATGGTATCTCCGTTGCCCACAATGGTAATCTTACGAATACGGACGAGCTATACAAAGAAATGCTCAAGAAACAACGCCATGTCAACACCGATTCRGATTCGGAGATTCTTTTGAATTGTTTTGCTGAGTCCCTCAACAAATATCAAAGAATTAGTGCCGACCAGGATGACAAAGAGAACGCTATTGTTGAGGATATCTTTAATACTTGTACCGATGTCATGAAAGAGTGCAAGGGTGGATACGCTACGACTTACATGATCAATGGTGTTGGATTGGTCGGCTTCCGCGATCCCCATGGGATTCGACCTCTTGTTGTTGGTTGCCGATCGAAAGACCCCGAAGACAAAGGCAAAASTTGGACCTCGGAGTCTMTGGAACAAAACTCAGGTACCAAGAAAATCGATTTTTGTATGGCGAGCGAATCGGTAGCAATCGATGCACTAGGATTTGAGCTTGTTCGGTAGGTTTCAATGCGCTTGCTCGTTTTTTGCTGAGTAGAAACGATACGTTCTATTTCCCYYTTTTTGGTTGCTGTTTCTGACACTYGGACTTTCTCTTTTCTGACTACAGTGATATTGCTGCAGGAGAAGCATTTTTTGTTGACATGAATACAGGAAAATGTCACTTTCGCCAGTGCCTTAGTGACGAGTCGGTGGCACCTTGCATTTTTGAATATGTTTACTTCGCAAGACCAGATTCCATTATGGATGGAGTTTCAGTGTATGAATCACGACTCAAGATGGGAGAAAAACTGGCTAACAAAATCAAAAAAATTCACCCAGACCACGGTATCGACGTAGTTATCCCGATCCCCGAAACTGCTCGAACCTCTGCACTTCAGACCGCACACTTTTTGGACGTTCCATTCCGCGAAGGGTTTGTTAAAAATCGGTATATCGCTCGTACCTTTATCATGCCAGGACAAGCGAAAAGGAAAAAGTCCGTTCGGCTCAAACTTAATACAATCAAAGCCGAATTTTCCGGGAGGAATGTTTTACTAGTTGATGATTCGATTGTTCGTGGTACCACAGCCAATGAAATTGTGCAAATGGCGCGAGAAGCCGGTGCGAAAAAGGTTTTCTTCTGCAGTGCGGCGCCACCCATTCGGTATCCCAACATTTACGGAATCGATATACCAACGCGTACGGAACTTATTGCACACGAACGAGAGGAAGAAGAGATTGCCGCCAAGATTGGATGCGACTGGGTTATGTATCAGGATTTAGATGATCTAGAAGCATCTGTAACTGAGTTGGCTAGACCCGATCAGCCGTTGACAAAGTTCGATACAAGCTGTTTTAACGGAGTCTATGTAACAGGACAACAGATCGGTGATGAATACTTTCAACGATTGTACAGTTTACGAAACGATGATGCTAAACAAAACCGAGATGCGAGTGACAGGGGGAAAATACAAAGTAACGATGGATGTGAGTCTGTCCAAAATGACACTCGAAAGGAATACATGACAAGAACTAGTTCCTGTGAAGCCATGCARAATTCTTAGTGTATATGAAATACCAGACTTTGGGCTGAAAGAACAGCACATTTTGATTACAAGTAAAGAACGATGCCATGCAACGGAAATAGACAAAGAGATCGTATAAGTATAAAACTTGATTATGCATATTGCGAATAAATAGGCTCCTCAAAAGTATCCCCATTCGTTGATTTTCTTTTCTGTAGTATGGAAACGGAGTTTTGGAATCGTTTGTGGCTTTCCAGGAGCGAAAGTTCGACATATTCATCTGGTTCGATGCCGGTGACGTCTTTTGGATGTCTGTTTCGAATAGATTCGAGCCATAGGCGGGTATTCTCGTTCGTCAGAGTCGAATGGCAAAGTAAATAGCCACCTGGTCGAATACATGCCCAGGCGGAAGAAATAAACTCTTTCATTCGAGCGCCTACTCCAAAATCGCACCAGAGAACATCTACTGTTGAGTCTCCCAGCTTCATGTCAAATGCGTCTCCACGTTGAAATTCTAGATAGGAATCGAGTCCCAGTGATCTAGCAACTGCACCTGCTCCTGATGCCGTCTCCCTCTGATGCTCGCAATTATCTATGCATAGGAGTTGCGAAGGTTCAGAATCAAAACCTTCTATTGTTGGATGTATTGTCCAGTCAATGTTGAGGAGCTTACATTCCCCACTTCGTTGTATCGATCGAACCGYTTGTAATTCGACATCGTTATCTTTCAATGCTTGTAAGATCCACAGTGTTGTGAAGCCAGCTCCAATTTCCACCACTCTTCGTCTCTTGGTCATCCTTAAAAAACTGTATAGAAGCGGTCCTAAATTTTCAACACCCATGCAAGGATTGTACAGTAAGCCGACTTGTGACAAGAATTTGTTGTCCCATACGGTGGGCTTCGGAATAAAAGTCTGACGCACAGTATTGTCGTGACGAAACAATATCTCTTCATCCTCGAATGGAGGCTTCTCAACGTGTGTCGCGAAGAGTACATCCGAGCGAATAACATACTTTGGTCTTCCCGAAAGGACAGGGGATCCTTCGTGAAGTGGCCAGTGCTTGCGAGCGTATTCGACGGCATCTTCTCCTACCCCCTGAGGAAACAAAAGTACGGAACCAGCCATCGGTCGCACAGAGGCAACAGGGGATAAATGTGGCGGATCTTGATCCTCCCCTTTCGGAGGGAAAAACTTCGTCTCTCCCCCGACGAAGTCGTCATTCAAATACATTAAAACGGTCAGTCTCGAAACAATCTCTTCGTCTTCATCGCCCTTTAAAGAAGCAGAGTCGTCCCAGACAAGGCAATCACCAMTMTCTGAAACRCCAGAGGGTGGAAATCCTGCATCGATGTGTGGTGCAAAGGATTCTTCGGTAGAAGCTTCGTACCGATAAATCCTCCATCGACGGTTCAATCCTACCATATAGAGTCTAATGTCATCGAACTCTTCATCGTTGTATATATTTGATTTTCCTTGGGTCGCCATTTCCCTTCGGATCATTTCCAAGTCATTCACATCAATATGCGGAGCCAACTGTTTTGCAATTGCATCAGCTGTAGACGGATCTACCACAATTTGCTGTGCCCCRTGATTATTTTTCCCAGATTTAAAATTACCAAAGACAAGACGCTCGCAGTCAGAGATTATTTGCTCGCARGCTTGCCTAGTTAACACATTATCGACAACAAATGCTGGTCCATGGTTCAGGGCTCCCTCTAAACCCCGAGGTTTCTTCCTGTCTGCTAAGAGTGGGTCATCGGTAAGATGTACTGTGTTTTCGCTGTTCTCGTTGCTTGTAGAGTCAAGAGAAGCARCAAAAGTCGGAACTCCCATCGCAGCCAAGAAAGAATCTTCCTTTTCGTCTTCCGATAATCGAAGACGTCTAATGTCCCCAAAAATTGGTGATCGGAATAAGGTCGATGCAGACGCTGCTGGCGCATTCGAGGGCTCTTCTGATTGTGTGGCACCATTATCGAATGCCGAAATCGACAGTGCAGTGCTCTTTTGTCTTTGATGCGAACCATTTGCATTTTGATGGAATCGAGGAGATGAATTATGAATGGGCAAGGATGATTGGAACAACCAAGCGAGAGGCTGCAATGAATTTGATAATAGGACGGCACATATCAGCACAAACAATGAGGTGTGATGATTGGTTGGTCCTTCCCCGCGAAATCTACGGGATTGCATTATTTGCATAGGTTTGGGAAGGTGTCGAAAATAATCACAATGCTGMTGCTTTGGATCGTATCTACRATGATTTTAAGTATGACGCAATCGTCAACTTATCCCTTCACACTTTGGAAAATGTTCAACGATGTTAACATAAACGAGACACATTTTTCGTTCGTTCTCGTAACAATCGGTGTGATTTGGAAGTTGATTGATTGATACGAGTACGAGTACGTACTTTGCTCGTAGTGCGTACGAGTAACGAAATCGTAGATTGAACATCGCGCGTGAGGCTTGAGGCATCACATTCACATCAAAGAAGAAACAAAATTCAAAAATCAAAAATCATGAGATCATGAGATCATCTTCGTACGTACGTACCGTACGATACCCCCCGAGTGGGTGCGTCGTACGCCGAACGGTACGTACGGTACGTTCGTCTACTATGTTCGTAATGTAACGCAGTGAATATATTGGAGTCGGTTGGAACAATACGAGCTATTGTAGTACATATGTATGGTAGGTACCCTATGGTAGTAACGGTACCGTAGTATCGAGTTGAATTCTGTTCTGAAGTTTCGCATGAAACGCGCGGATATCAAAAAACGAGATTTTTGCCGACACCACACAAAATATCCGACGAAACAACCGAAAACTTGACRAACAATATTTTTTTCAAGAATAGTAGTAACTCGTACCGTACTTCTCTCCTTCATAGTAATAGAATACTGTCAAACAGAACTTGAGATGCTTCTCAAGGTTTTGATAGAACACGAGTTTTCCTTTCTATAATTGGAGATAATGACTACACAGAGTTCAGCTACATCTCCGGAACCAAGGAAGCGACCCCGAGTGGAGGTAATTGCAGACGCAAATGATACGCCCGTCGCTTCCGACACTGGAAGCCGAACAGAAGAAAAGCCTACCCCCKCGTATGGATCGAAGGAATATTGGGAAGATAGATACAAGAAGAATTCTATTGCGGACGAAACGGGAGGCGAAGAAGATCCAGAACCGTATCATGCTTGGTACTTCAAGTTCGATGATTTAGCCCCTCTTCTCATGCCATTGATTCTAGGTGGTGATGTYGGTGATGACAATGACGACAACGATGAAGTGAATAAAAGTAAAACTGACGTTGACATAGAAAATAAAAAMACAAAGAAAGAAACCCACAATAATACTGATGATGAAAAAGGCGCCGAAAGCCGTGGTGGGAATGACGCTGATCTTTCGTCACAGCAAATGAACGACGAACGACACCAAAAAAAAAAWTCACATTTGGAACATGCCAAGAATAGTGACGAMAGYGGGGACGAAAGCGATGATTTTGAAGTGATCGAAATGGAAGATTATGATGACGATGATGACGAAGATCCCGTCGTTCGAGTCGGCCTCGCCAAGAATGGCCCAATCTCAATTCTAGAAGTTGGCTGTGGGGACGCTCCACTTGGTCGAGATCTTGCTTTGTCGATTCAGGAGTATGGAACTTCGATTGAACAAGACTCCGCATCAATCGTTGAAAAAGTTGTTTGTTCAGATTATTCGAAAAATGTAATTGAAATGATGAAAGAAGAGCAACTAAAGGCTGAATTAGATCGCGACGCAAAAGAAAAGAGCGTACAAGTACATTATGAAGTGGCCGATGCGCGGCAGTTATCTTATCCAGATGGAAGCTTTGAAATGATCCTTGAGAAAGGAACACTAGATGCCATGCTATCTGATAGTGAGGGAGGCGGCCAAGAAAACTGTCGAAAMATTGTTGCTGAATGTGCAAGGGTACTGAAAGTTTCAGGCTATATCATCATTATTTCGCATTTGAATGCACGGGTCGAGAGTGGTTTGCAGTGGTTGAATAACGTCATTGTTCCTGGGTTGAGGGCTGCAGGAGATTTCCATTGGCTCGTTGAGGTTCATGGCAGCGATGTTGAGGTCCCATCGGACGATGACGATGATGCAGCAGAAGAGAAGCCAATCGAATCTCCGGGACCTGCCGTCTACTTTATTGAAAAAGTCGGAGCCACATCGCCAGCAAAAAGTAGTGATGGCAGTGAAGAATCACTACCTACCATACCACTGAAATTCTTTTCGTACTAGCATGAGAGATCCATTCCTAATTAGAACACACCCATGAGTTGCTTTGGGGTACCAACTTAATACCGACAAAAATTAATAAAATCCTTTTCCTCTAGGTATAAGACTTAAACGACTAATAGCATCCAAAGAATCTGAATATATGTACATTTCTGTCCTRAAAGTTCTCATCTCTCATGATTTCCAAATAGTTACTGTGGGGAGCGCCTGTTAGGTACTTTTACATTGGAAAAATGCTCACTCTCATCCTCTTAGCTCTCAACTGTGTCAATCAACTTGTTTGATTGAAATAAGGCTTTCTCATCCAAATATTTAAAAAMATTGGCTATGGTGCACTGGACTGTTGCCTACACTTTTGCATAGGAGCCAGAAGCCTTGATGATTCTCACTGCTCTGGACTTAACAAACAAWCAAAAAGAAATTAGTTTTTCTTAATGTACAGTCCATGTAGACCTTGGTACCCCAAAATAGCAAAAAAGGTAGTACCATGACAAAATGCAGCAGCTTAAAGCAGTCTCATTTCGAAATTCCCATGACTCTTGTGTTCAGTCATTATTATGATCAGATATTCCAAATTTAAAGAGAACCAAATTCCCCCAAAGAATGGATTCCAAATTTAAAGAGAACCAAATTCCCCCAAAGAATGAAAAAAATGTCATTGTTTTCATCAGTCATTCCAAAATTTAAGAGAACCATGTTCCTACCAAGAAACAGTCATTGTTGTCATCAGTCATTCCAAAATTCATGAGAATCAAATCCCTTCCAAGAAAAAAAAGCAGTCATTGCTGTCATCAGCCATTCCAAATTAAAGAGAAACCAATTCCTTCCTCCCAAGACTCAAAAAATCAGTGATTGTTATCATTGGTCATTCCAAGATTTCAGAGAACCAAAATCCTGACAAGACTCAAAAATATCAGTCATTGTTATCATCATTCATTTCAATATTTAAGAGAAACAAATTCCCCHGAAGACTCAACAAAATCAGTCATACTACTAGTAATCAGTACAGCTACGGATGTATTAAGTCCAAAATTAAAGAGAACCAAATCCTACCRCGACAGGTCAAAAAGATCACCAGTTATTGTCACAATTGGCCATTCTTCCAACATTCAAGAGAACCCAATTACTCCCAAGAAGATTTCTTGAAGAATTCTTGGTCATAGTYGTGACCAGTCATCCTGAAATTAAAGAGAGCCAAAATCCCCCCAAAAGAGCACTACTTGTTGAATGTTCAGTTGTTAATATCATTGGTCATTCCAAAATTCAAGAGCACCCAATTCCTCCTCCCATGACTTGCTGGATATTCAGTCATTGTTGTTGTAAGAGGTCATTCTAAGACTAAAGATAACACAATCCCTCCCAAGACTTTGTAGTACACCAGTAGTAGTTGAATATTTAGTATTTATTCATTAGCATCACCATTGGTCACTTCAAAATGAAAGAGGACCAATTCCTTGTTGTCAGCTCCTCAAAACTTGACAGCAGAGCACCTCTCACTGCCAAGATAAGCAGCAATTCTTGTGAGAGGGGCTACTATAGACATGGCCTGAGTGGTCCCATTCCAYCCAAYAACAATAATAGGGGCAGCTTTGTCTTTGGCTATGATGGGCACAATGAACCAACCAAGACTGAAGACAAAGACACTGGTGGTGCTGATGTCTTGTTGGACAAGTTTCTTTAGTCCCAGCTCATACAAGAAATACTGCCAGTTCCTCCCAAAATTGGGGAGGAGCAGCAATACACCAGAACATATGCCAACRCCAATACCAACAACTGCTGTAGCAATCATGGGCATTTTTCAGCAGTTTCTGATGACTCAGTTTCAATGTTCCACTTTTTAGAATATCCCTGAATTTTGGTAAATATTTTGATTGAATGGAAAAAGTAGAATCATTGCTGTTTTTCCATTTTTTCCACTTTTTGCCATTGYCAACAAGCAATGATCAGTATCTTTTAGATGATCAATGTTAACATCATCAATGRGGATACCTCCAAAACTTTCACTGTTTGGAAACCTTAAGAAATTTACCAACAGAATTGCTGATTTCTCACRTTTGGAAATTTTCAAGTGTTTTTTGCTACAGGGTGTGGAGGAGTTGACCGATCCATTTTTTTTTTCTTTGACTCAATTCCTTTTGTTGTGGTAAAGCTCCTAGAGAAAAATTCATAAACAGGAACATCTTCAAGTGTCCCTGGTGCTGTCCGTAGGATATCAGACTGTGGGCATGATTCATATATACGACACATACATATGACACGTATCTATGATTCATACACACCATACATATATGACTCACTCGATCCTATGGATCCATACAATTGACATGACTCAGTTCATTCACTTGCGTGAGTGACTTGACTCATTCTTCRATTCACACATCACTTGATCTTCAGTCTGATCGGTCTTAGATTTCATAGCTCATCAATTCTCAATAAGAGCATCGACTCACTTTTCTTCTAGCACACAATTTACATCACTATTAGATAGTCACTCCCACACCTGGTGCCCTGCACAAATAATTTGCAACATGAGATTTAAGAAATGCAACAATGCATTTGTTTGGAACTATTTGAATCCAAAATGAATTCCTTGATTGTCTTTCTCTCAAAACAATCAAGACCAGCATGAAATTCAAATTCAYGAGAAAAATGGAATTGAGACCCATTATTTTGAAGGAGATAGTAGGCTTGCCATCATGGGACCAGAAACAAGAAGGAATGTCTGACTTTGTGCTTGACTTAAATTGACAGCTCCAATCAAAGCATGAACTCCTTGTTTGCACATTGCAAGATTGCACTCACTGTCTTCCTCACTGTTGTAAACTTGTTGAAGTTTGTTTAAAATGTGTTTCCCTGTCGCACTAGTAGTAGCATACACTTCAGTGTCCTCTTCTTTGTTGCTTGGTTGACTTTGAAATGTAACAGGCCATAYGCACAGTTGAACCACCAGAGCAATTTGCAACAGTGTTTGAATTGAGTTGAAAAACAGAAGAACTAGCATTTTCATTGTATATTAATTGCATTAATCACCATGCAGTCTTCATGTTTCCTCTCATGTTCATATCCAAATAAGTTGATAGTGTTTTTGTTGCCCTTCCAGTCATACCAGTACCAATCGGAATATTTATTTATTTATTTAATTTGATCCATTCCAACCTTTGATTGGAACGCCCTGTTCGGTACCTGGTACGTACGAGAACAAGGAACACACATCAATCCAAGAAAAAGTCAAATCCAACTACAATSGTCTGTATCTGATATCAGATGCCCAGACAAGGCACCAGTCTCCCGATTGGTCAAGCTCTATCACTACTTTTGACACCATGCCCATAACAAATCCACACTTCAAACTCGGCCAAGATAAAATTGACGAATATTTARAAAACGGGGTCTTGGTCGTAGAAAACATTCTCGCTGATGACGAGTTAGAGGAAGCCAAGAAAGGTTTGTTGGAATCACTACGGAGGCGTGGGATCAAATCGATCGATGTCGAAGACGAGGAATCGGCTCTCGCCTTTCAGAAACTCTCTTCTACGAACGGAAGCGGTGGTGTGCTAGACATTTTTCACGACGACTGGAAACTTAAATTGATTGCTACCCATCCGAAGCTCTTTTCGATAACTCAACAACTCTGGAAGGCAGGATATAATTGCGGCGGACGAGATAAAGACTCGCTACCAGAGAATCAACGTTTTCAGTGGCATCCTTACGGGGGAGATATCGATTTCGAAAATAAGGGCTATTGTTATATTGATAGAGTAGGGTATAGATTGCCGACCGAATTGGCACAAGAATGGGGGGATCGCATCTACAAACGCAATAACGGTGTTACATCGGTGACGAGTAAAAAGAAGAAGAAGTTACGATCCATACAGCGGTCGCTGACGCCTCATTTAGATTGCTGCCCTGATACTCTCTATGAAAACACAAACAAATGGCGGCCTATTCAGTGTTTTGTATCTCTGACCRATAATCTTGAAGCAAATACAGGAGGCTTTGAGGCAGTCCTTGGAGGATTTCACCGCACCTTTGATGCTTGGACAAAAATCCGCAATGGCGATAAAACTGCGATCGGTCAAARCAAAGCTACAATCAACAAAGCCGCCCCATGCCTTGGTGAATACACACATATTCGACCGAAAGAAGATGCCGACGTGATGAAACGAGTGAATCACATTTCCGTCAAGGCAGGAAGTGCCGTCTTTTGGGACAATCGAATCCCGCATGCCAATGCATATCGGAATGATAATAAGAGTGTTCCGCGTGCCGTTGTATATGCTTCGTTTTTACCAGACATTGAGCTAAATAGGCGCTACGTTGAAAATCAACTTCTAGCCTGGAAATTACGAAAACCGATCCGAGACCAGTGGAATCATATACCAGAGGAGCAAAGTCCGTGTAGTAATGAGGATCAGATTGCGTCATCAAGCGACGAAGGTATTTTCACCGAAATTGGAAAGCGACTAATGGGAATCGAACCGTGGTAGAAGGAACACGCGGCATGACTTTATCAGATCTGGTGACTCCATTGCAGTCTGGGTAACGCTACTTGTCGGAACGAGTGATTMGTGTCAAGTGAAATACGATATTACGATATTACAATAGGATTCGTGTGTTTAGGAAAGCTTATTTGATCCACATTTTATCACAACTTAAATTTTCCGCAGAGCTTATGCGGCCTCGACAGCTTTCGCAACCAAATCATCGACCGTATCTAGTGCATCTAGAGGGCAATCCACTTGAATGGCATTTCCATTCTTGTCCTTGGTTCGTAGATCCTTAATTCGGACAACTCCTTTGGCGATCTCATCGGGCGCAACAAAGACCATGCGCCGAGCACCGGCATTATCGGCGTGTTTGAAACTCGCAGCAACCTTCTTTTTGGGTGTTGGCATCAAGTCGACGCTGGCACCTGTCATGCGCAGTTTCAAGGAAATATTAGCAGCTTGTCCGTACAAATCGGGGCTGAAGGAACAGACGACATAGTCGACTCCGGATCCGACGAAGTTTGGCAGTTTATTATGGTCCTTCAAAAGCTCCATGATGACACAATCGCCAAAGCCGAAGCCAACACATGGAATCTGACACTTYTCTCCTCCGTACAATTCTAGCAGTCGGTCGTAGCGTCCACCTCCCATGATTGCTCGAAGTTCCCCACTTCGATCAAATGCTTCCCAGACAACTCCGGTGTAGTACGCAAGACCTCGAACAACGCTAGCATCAAAGACGAGATAATCTCCGATTCCGTACTCATCRGCAAGTTCGAAGAGACGCTTGACCTCGTGGATGGCTTCACAGTCATCACCGATTTGGGCGGCTARTTCTTCGATGGTTGGTGCTTCCAATGCCTTSAGGATTTCTGCCGAAGACTCACTGCTAACTCCGATGGTGGCMAGTTGCTCGGTCACCGCACACCCTCCAATCTTGTCGAGTTTATCAATAATGACACAAGCGCTAGCAAATAGGTCTCCACCATCGGTCGGGTTTTTCTGTCCCTTTTTGACTCCGTGCTTGGCCAAGACAGCCTCTAAAACCGCTCGCGAGTTGACCTTGATTCCAACCAGATCCGATCCAATYCCCAAGCTTTTGAAGAAGTAAGCAGCCGCGGCCAACAATTCCAATTCAGCGTGGACGTGATCGACGCCAACGATATCCATGTTCCATTGGTAGTGCTCTCGTTTGCGTCCTCTCTGAGTGGTYTCGAAGCGCCAGCACTGTGGGATGGAAAACCATTTGAGGGGAAGTGGGACTCGCACCTCGCCCGTTTGCAAGTTCGTCTTGTTCAATACCATGCGGGCCAARGTAGGGGTCATCTCGGGACGGAGAGTCACGTGGTCGCCCTCCTTGTCGACAAAGTTGTACATTTGATCAACAATCTCTTCGCCGGCCTTGCGTTCGTAAAGTTGAACGTGCTCCAGGACCGGGGCGTCGTATTCTTGGAAGCCGAAAAGACGAGCAGATTCTCGGAACTTTCCGTACAACCAGTTTTGCACCCTCATCTCGGCTGGATAGAAGTCGCGGGTTCCGCTGGGAGGGTCCAGATAGGCCGGGCGAGGTATTTCGTTGGCCGCCGATTCACCTKCCGCGACCAGGCGATCGAGCTCCTTTTCGATCTTTTTCTCGGTCCAAGCAGGGTCGTTCAATTCCTTTGCCAAACGAACTTTCATTTCCGTGCATTTTTTCTTTCGTTCCTGCGCTGCTACTTGTTGCTCCGGCGTTGGCTTTCCCTTCAATTTGGGACCAAATGAGATCCATTCCGCAACGTGCTCGGGTGTGAAAGGCGACGACATGACTTTTCTTTTCTTCTTTCTCGACCTGATTTTATACAGCTTCGGTCTGCTCCTATTCAATGTAAAGATGCAGAGGTTCTATCAAGGCTGATACTTCCTTTCTACTAGTGGCATTGAGGAACCAATAAATTCGTGTTCAATGACGGCGATTCACTCAGCATTTRGAGGCGCGACCTTGAAGGTCGTTGGTTTTTACTGCTACGTGCTAGTCATAGCTAGGTTCCGTACTAGCAACTCGTATGGTGTCAATCGATCGGAGTGGTGAAAATTAAATCGTTCCATCTTTAAACTACGGACGCCATACAGACCATTTTTCCGTTGCTAATCTCCTTTGCAGCTTCCTGTTCTTGTTGTTGTTGTTGTTGTCTCAAATTGTTCTTGTGGCTGTATATTCTGGTGCTTGGTGGTATTGCAGAGTTCACAACAAAGACACCAATACTAGTAGTACTACTAGTTATTAGTATTAGTAKGAAGAATGTTGAAAGAATCACTGAATGCATTGATTGTTTACTGTAAGATCTACTCGAGTGGTGCTGCTACTATTCTTGCTGACAGCACCATTCAGACGAGCCAAGAAGAAGGAACTTGGTGAAAGAAGAAGAACAGTGCATAGGACAGTAGCAGTAATAATATGACATGAACTTGGTACAATATGGCACTACTAGTATTACAAGTACTATCAAAACACAGAAGTAATGAAAACAACTACTTCAGCAATAAAATACCTCAACTTCTTGGCAAAAATAGCATCTTTATTTGCTCCTGTGTTAAGGTTTGGTTGATGAGCAACTATCTACTTTCTTGTCGTTTTCCTCTTGCACATTGTTCCACAAAACTTTGCCAGCATTCTAAATCGGTAGATCGTTTACAGGGAATTCAGATGACCCTTTCTGAGCCCGATCCGTGCGGGTGATTGCGATGCCGGCAGAGAAATGGCATCATAAGAATACTCTCTCTGTGCCGAGCGAACCAGAACTGCCGCAAGGTCAAGAGATTTTTCCGCGCGTGTGGTCCGTGGCCGCACGTACACGACGTCTTCTCTCGGTGTACTCCAGCCTCCGCCAAAAACATCGATTGATTCGATAGCAAAGTACAGAAATGATTTTGACGGACAAATTTCCAAGAATTATTTCTAGATTCCCCTCGTCTATAGAATGGAACAAAACCCGTCCATCATTGGTAATACAATTCGAGGCTCATCCCGTCGTGGATTTCGTAGTCTTCCAGCGAGATGTGATCTGTTTTCGACGGCAAAGGKTGCAATGAAAAAATGGCAATCATGACATGGTCAGTGAGTCGCTGGTGCAATTATCTTGTCRAATGTTGTCCGTGTCGAGGCGGGGATACCACCCATYGCATTTCTCCACCACCCGGACACATGCGTTCGGCACTGCAAGCCTTCTARAAGAAAATACCACACACCTTTGTAGACGGTATACCATTTCTGAATCTTCAATTTTTCCGGGCGTGTTCCAAGCTGGGCTGCAGCGAGTTTCTTCAAATCCCCTATGGTATCGTCTTCGTTGCACTTGACGCGCACTTTCTTTCCCAGCCTGTCGTTCAAAAGCACCTCAATCATGATAACGGYATCTACGATACTAAGGAATTGTGCGTATGGATGGGTTGCGATGGCAAGGACACGATACGTTCGGAATGAGTGYGACACCGTATGCTTCTGTTACGAGTGCACAAGAATCAATCTGAGAACGACTGTTTGAATGCTATGGAAATCACGCCCGGGACAATACATACCGACATACCGATAGTATGTAAGTACCACCATAMGAAGTACGCAACCGTAGTACCCTGTATGTTCTGCTCGGAGCCATACCATCGTACGATACCGTTCGATTCGTTTACCCATACCAGTAGATAATCTTACAAGCAGAGCTTGATACCGGCTGTACCGTTAGGCTAACGGTAAAGTACGAGTACCGTACTTTCTTTACGTCCTTTAAGTCAGGGGTCATGATGTACAAGTACCGATATGGATATTTGGATTTTCAGGAATCCAGGAACGAGAAAACCATGGGAGAGAAAAAGACCACATGATGACGATACGCGAAGCTTCTTGTACTCAGGCAAGGGGTCATAAATTTACCGGTAGTACTTTACCTGCCTTGAATCGTACAGTAGGAAGAAACGTATGTCGTGATATATTTAGTTCATTTCTAGTACGTACAGTACTGAACTTCATAATTTTAGTATGATCGTTTAATGGGCGGTACACAGTACATACCCTACGATACCGCACCCACTTACAGTTGTAATGTACGGTACCATATGTACGTTGAAACTATCATAAATCAATACAGTACTGTACTTTACTTACCCAACGCTAGATTTTTGTTTAAAAAAATAATATTTGTCACGCTGCAGTACGTAGTCGTGGACTGTATCGTACGGTACGGTACGGTACTTCTGGTCCGTCAGAGGATAGGATTCTACCGGAGTTTCGAATTCTCGTCTCCGTACACGTCAAAATACTACTGAATTTCTACGGACAAGTACGATTACTGAAGCAAGATTTCAATTTAGTGTTACTATGGAGAACAGCGCGACCAAAACATGAATTTTTGAAACCACCCATTAATTCGCAGTCCGGGCTTGCTGACTACTGCATTTCACGTAGTCCTACGTACAATATTTAAAATCAATATTTGCGAGTCAGCGTGGCAAGTTCTAGASGAACAACGCTCTACAGTACCGTACAGGTCTTCGTTCGGGCCGAAAGGATTTCGRTCAAGCTTAGCCGAACAACGCCACAACATCTAAGAGTTGTACWCTCCAGCGAGTTTTCCTTCAAAGCATTGCTATTCATTGAGAAAGAAAACGCATCACATTGCCATCGAGKTTGAAACACGGTGGAGATCATTGGTGCATTTCTACCATTTACTACATGTGTAAAAGACCAGGAGTTGTGAATGAATCACAATACCTTTAGTAAGCAGTAGCCACAGCAATAGCACTCAAACTATACCCATCGATCCATCCGTTCGTCCTTCCATTTTTCGATCAGCCATCGCCCTGGAACGAAACGAAATCTGCTTCCGAGTACCGTATCGACTCCGAGAGAGTCATAGACTGACAGATTCCTAGCGCATCGAAGAGAATCGAACTGACGAACAGAATACAGCTAACAAACAATGGCTAMCGTGGCTGCATTGAAGGATGCACCTATAGGACATGCTGCCAATMATCCAAAAAGTTCGTGTTCCGCTASCGCGAATGGAGGAACGAGTAGCTCTGCTAGTGGAACAGAAAACCCTGTTCCTTCGATAACACTATCGATCACACAGGATGACGTGAAGCGCGTCCTAGAAGCAAGCGAGGCATTATCTAARAAGTTGGTTGAAATACAGCAACAGGAGGGCAAGAATACGGAAACGCTTCCCTGCGATGTTGGCAGCAGTCCCATCGCAGTGGAGTCGTCTATGCCACCGCTAACAACGACTGGAATCGATAAAACCGAGAACAGCCACGGGGCCGATGATTCATCGAGCGGTCCTTCGCTGCGACCAGCAGTTTCGACCTCAGAGGACGAAAGTACMAAAGATGGCACCGAAACAGCAGCAACTCGAAAAACAAAGGACTCTGGTAGCTGCAGGCGGCCTTTGCACGAGCTTATATATCAAGCAGCGCGAGAGTGTGARAACACCATGCTCCAATCCTTTCTGGATAGAATGAAATATTCTGGTTCATCTCCAAGAGAAATCAACGCCGGCGTCATGGTGTTTTCCGAAATGGACCTCAACCTGAAAATCAAACGAATCTTTGATATTCTCGGCGAGGGAAAGAAATGCCGAGGGTCGTCCAGTGAAGGAGACATCAAAACAAATGGGGGGGACGATAAAGATGTCGAACAGGGGAAAAGTCTTAGCCGTGATGGAGCACTTTCACTCTTCCGGGCAGTWATTGTTGCCATTGCATCATGCATTCAGAAGAATGCAAAGATGCAAATAGAGATGAGAGATAAAGAGAACGGGGAGCAACCCAGAGTGAAACGAAGAAAGCCAAATACGCCAGAAAACGATATCAAGAAGATGAGTTCGGACAAACACGAGGTGTTAAAGAATGTTGACTCGGTTCATCATTCACTACAGACACCAACTGTATCCTTTGACAATTCGACTGTTGTCCCTGTCAAGGAGGAGAACGATGTGGTAAAAACATCGTCCGTCCACAAGGAATTCGAGGAAATTGCAGTTTATGCGACAGATCGGCTTGTCAAGTTTGCCGTAAAGAAGTCGGGGAATAACAGTAGCGATCGTGTGGAAGTAACGTTTGCCATCTTTCAGAGCTGGAGGCGGGCAGAAGGAGCGAGAATAGCACCTTGGTTGGATTTGCTGAACCTGTCGAGATGGAAGACACCCCAGCGTTCAACGGAAAAAACTTCTGTCCCCTCTCAAACGAAAAACCAGCCCAAGCCTCAAACGCAACCCATAGTTTCGCGACCAAAACCGGTACCAGAGCAAGCAAAGACCAATCCACTTTCGGTTCCAGTCAAGAAGACGTCTTCTTCTGATGCAGTGACCGCGGTGCAAAAAACTGAGAATTCCACGGAACCAAAACTGAAAACAGAATCAGCGAAGAAGGCGGAAATTGTTACAAGTAACTCCGTGGCACAATCTCGTACACAAGTTTCTAKCCAAGCTCCTCCATACGTGAGCAAGAATTCAAGCAGAACCGTTCTTTCCTTTGACTTTTCTGGTTCTATACCAGAAGAAGAAGGAGAGCAACCGTTCTGCATTACTATTACTGAAGAGAATCTCAAAACCTTTCGCTCCTTGGTAGAGAAAACGGGTCTCATCAATCGGTCTTGTCATGAAATTACTACAATTTTACTCGATGCCTCGAAAGCCCGAATGCACGAAGGAAWAGAAAGAAAAATTATGACGATTGAACGRTTTCATACTTGCCTGCATCAACTGTTAGGCTCGGGCTTTTCTCAAAGACTCTCCAAATCRGATAAAGATATATTTTCTTCTTGCTTTGTGGACTTTTTCGGATGCTTCACTCCAGGCATTCCACCTCTTGAATCGGGGGAGGCTTTTACGCATGAACTTGCAGTCGGTTTCTGTTTTCTCTGCGCTGGGAACAAGAGCTCTAAGTTGGCTACAGGGTTCGAATTYCTTGAGGAMCAGATGGGAAGAGGTCTAACAAGCAAGCAACTTGTTCACTTTTTGCGATCCTATCTGACGATGTTGGCTGGAATTTCCTTCTTGACCTCCTCATCCGATGGTATCATGAGACCAAAATTGAATGCAGCTACACGGAAACTAATGTACTCTGCTGTTGAAAATGGAGCTAGTTGGACGYTGGGACATTTTCTGAAAGATATTGGTCTTCCAGAAAATGATACCAGTGAGGTGAAACACACATTTGAGGCCTTTGCCTCCTGGTATTCTAGCGGAGGCTTTAATACTGCACCATGGCTCGAGCTCCTTGATTTGAAGAAGTTACTATCTCTTGTGGATGAAGTCTATCCGAAGTCCCCTGCAATGACACATGATGCGCTTCCAGCGTTCCCTGGACTAAAGCCTTCGTCGCCTGAGTTCCTCTCTCCTAGACCAACCCGCCAACATCATACGACGAATCGTCATCGTCACCCCAGCAATCCTACGGTTTCAAATTCTAATAGCATGTATTTGACATCGTTCGGTCATTCGCACCCTCCTCMAGCCCTTCAAATTCTGTTCAATTTTCCTCTCGCAAATCAGTGCTCTCTGGTCGTCCTTAAAGAAGACGCAACTTATGTAAGAGGAGTCGTTGATCAGCTAGGCTTGCTACCGTACCCTCCAGAAGAAATATGGTCAACATTACACGATCTTGCTCTCAAACAATCAGCGAAGAAATACCCCAAGAATGCGGGCATATCAAAGACGATGTTGATCAACAAGGCCAGCTTTGTCGAATGCATGCAAGGCACAATTCAGAAGAAAGTWAAGACGAGCAGAAAACGAAGTGCCAGTGGTCATTCRAAATCTAATAACTTAGATCTTCTCGCAAATCTCTTCCGGAGCTTYGATCTCGTTCAGATCGATCAAGTTGCTTTGAACGAACTGATGGGTGGGCTGACCTTGCTATGTGGAGGAAAGAAGTCAACAAAACTATCTTTCGCCTTCAGTTTGTTTGACCGACGTCAATTTGGAAGTAAGAAAGCCAAGAAGAATCATCCAGCTCTAAATTCCTTGGATGGAGAAGAATTGTTTCTATTTCTTCGATCCTTTTTGATCATAACRTTTTCATGCTGTCGACAAAGTTGGGATTTATCTGATGACGCYGTCAATCGGTACATCGCAGATACTGCCAATATGGTGACAGACGATGTGATGCGGTATCAATGGCGAACAAGAAAAAAGGACCGCTTGAACTTTGAAGAATTCGGTCGATGGTATAATGAAGGGGGATATGAGACAGCGCCATGGTTGGAGCTGCTCGATTTAACAAAATGGGTACTTGTCGAAAACTTTGATTCGTTTGAGAAGCAATGCCCACCACCGCCACCAACGGCCGATATGCCAATGAAACGTGCTCCGCCGCCTTCGCCTGGCATTACTCTTGGATCAGGATTACCAGATTCGGATTGCCCGCCAGCTCCTCCTGATGCTGAAATGGATGGGTCGTTTTTCGACGATGACCCAAACAATCTCCTACCGATGGACAGTATCGATGACGAAATGGACTTGCTTCTGATACAACATACATCWCATGACAAGGAAGATGCTGAAATTTCTAAGCTCGTGAAATCTTTTCCTTTCTCTCCGAAGTATTCTCCGAAGCCATCTCCTAAAGCGAAGAATATGCAACAAAATCAGAACTCTATGGCTTTGAAAATATACATAATAACTGACGACAGTCATGATGGCTACATTTTTTCGATGAGTCAGAAGAGAATAAGCCATCTTCGTCACATTCTGATGGAATGTGAACTCCATAAGGTTGATTGTGAGAAGGCATCAAGAGAAATATTGGCGAAAGCTGATCGTGAGAAATCCAGCTCTCACCTTTCTCCTTATGTTCTGACTAAGGAGGGTTTTGACTCGGCCATGCGCAAAGTCATCGTTTCGAGAACGATGAGTGTYGAAACGCAGCGAACTTTATCGAYGTTGTTGAACGATATATTCTTTGCGTTCGATTACAGCGGGGTAGGCAAAGCTAACGCTCTTGATATTGCCTGTGGTTTTACTCTTCTTTGTCGTGGGAAAAAAAGTGACAAACTAGAGTTTGCATTTGAYACTTTAGACACAGAAAAGAGGGGAGTTCTAAAAAGGTCAGATGTAACACGATATCTGCGTTCGTTTTTRTTGGTTCTGGTGAAATTGGCTTCGGCCACKGCACTGGATTCAGACTTTATTGACGATGCGATGACAATGATGAATGGCGACAAGTGCGACTGCTCGATTAGTAACATGTCGAAAGCAGTAGAGATGGGATGCGAATGGGCGACTCTCCAAGCTATTAAAGGCAGTAGGGGTCTTCGTGACGAYATTAGCTTTGATGATTTTGCAGAATGGTATACACGCATAGGCCATGGCAATATTGGCTGGGTWGAACTCTTGGATTTGAACAAATGGGCCGTAAAGACACAAGTGTCATCAAACCATACAAGATAATGTACCTAGTATGAAATATTATTTTGACTTYTRATCGATAAACTTTTTTGTATTTGTGCCATAGAAGACGTACCCATTACTTTTCAAGAAACCTRAATTGCTCCATGCATGTGTGATATTGTGTGACGAGGTTTGGGAAAATGGAAATGCATCCTTTTCATAYCATTACTTCACATTAGACTGAAGTGTCAATTTAGMGTTAGCTGGTTTGGACTGACGGTAAATACTTTGGCCAGATGCAGCCATCTTTGGATCAAGAGGTCATGGAAGTAATTTGGAACAATTTGTTWATTTATTCAGCCTGAGTAGTTATGAGTGTTTCTACTTCAAGGATAATATGAGGGACTCACAATTCTTGATTCTGGTATTCCAATCTAAATGCCAAACTGTATTTAGGGGGTGCCTCTAGTATGCCAACTGCTGGTAGATTTTGGACATGATTTCTGACAAGCTGGCCAGTTCAAACTGTTGTCAGTGCAGTCATTTCTTTCTATTGGTCTTGGGTGGTCCAATGTAGACTACACTAGGATTTGCAATGACAACCAAATACTTCCTCCAGTACCCAACCCCACCCTTTGGAACAACTACTGCTGTAGACATCCTTCTTCCTATTAGAACTGATGGTCCTGGCCTTCCTAATGCCTCTTCTAGTTCATAAAGTTCAGAAATATACTAATACGAAGTTTATTTTTTCTTTTCCACCACCCCAGAATATATGGCTAATGTGTCCTATTTTGCAGCTCAACTATTCACATCACCTTTTTGCCAGTCTGCTTTCACCAATGACTGAGAAGTAGAAATAAGCAAAAAATCACCAGAGAAAGGAAACACTTACTAAGAATGGCCTTTAAAGTTGCTCAGATCTCTGTTCAAAATTTGGTCTTTTCTGATGCAGCAGTCAACAAGAAGCATTTTGAATATCATCTTTTCCCCTCTCATCAAATGAACAAAATGTTCCCAAAAGAGATTTGATTTGCATTCTTGCTGTCTCCCCATAGAGAACTTCTCAGACTACTTGTAATATATGTCCAAAAACATCATTCCMATGCACCAAAATTTGGACTTTTTCAAGTACAACTACTACTACTAGTATATAAGATATAATCAAGTCTTGCCCAAAAGACTCCCTTGTAAATACTAATTCAATCTCAAAAGATTGAAAACTAGCCAGTTGTACTACTAGGTAGTGTTGTTGCCAGTAGCTATTTAATATAATATTATCATTTATTAAAGTACTAGTAGTAGTAGATACAAATAAAAATGCMTGATGTCAACATACCCCTAGAAATTTGGTGCATTTTGATACATAAGCTATTTCCCACATCATTTTGCCAAATGTTATTGCTAGCCCCAAAGTGAATTTTAAACAATTTTTTWATGCYTGCTACAACCAACACTAGTAGTAACACTAGTGGTACACTACTATATGTACTGCATCCCACTYCATAGTACTAGTACTACAAAAATAATTTRAGGAGAATATATCTATTCATATTTCATGCATTGTTGTATAATACACTTATTTGTGTTGGATGATTGAAGTTATTCTAATGCTCCTTGAAAAAAACAGCAACAGTGCATCTTCTGTAACCATTTCTTGACATCTTTTTACAAGTACTAGTAATCCTAATCCCTGCATGTGGTTCCCCCCATTCCTTYATTGGTGAGTTAGGATACTACATCTCCTTTGTTTCCTCTCACAAGGAAAAAGACAATAATTCCTCTTCAATTCTTTAGTATGCTATGTTCTGGCAATGTACATGACTTCAAGCAATCTTTCAATGAATAATGCTGATGGTCTTTTTTGTTCACAGAACAAACCCTACACCTATTGCAACAAGGTTGTGGCATCTACTTTGGCTTTTTGAAATCTTCTTGACATTATGGAGTTTTTCAATCTACTTGAATACCTTTGTTCATCACCAGTGCAATATTAAAAGAAAGTCGAAAGCTTTTCTACCCACCAGCATTCTTGTGTTTGGAATTGTACACCTTTCATTCCTTCTTCACCATGATGAACTTATCACATTTAAGGCCAGTGGCAAAAATTATGTAGTACTAGGAAGGTATCACACTATCAAGTAAGCTGCAGAAGAAAATAATATAAGAATGATACTAGCTGTTTGASCAAAGTAAAAAGAAGATGCTGCATTGGAGAAATCAATTATMCATCAATTTACAGTTMAATATTAGTGTGTTATCAACAACCAAGATGAAGATGATCAGTGATTTTCTCAATCATGGCCCTTCAAAAATGACAGCATGCATACTAGTACTCTCACTTGTGAAATTMTATTGCTTCATGTCCTCCTTGTATCTTGCAAAGTCAACACAAGCTATGACTTTGACCTGGACTGTACAGTCTTCCCAAAAATTGTGTGTGAGCAGGGGGGCATTTGGTTGGACAACTGTATGCAAGTTGGAGGAGCCTTTTGATGGAACTCATGAAGATTGAACCCTGATGAAGAGATTGCAATTCATCCTGATCCTTATCAGGAGATCAAATGGAGAGGTCATGGTCAGGGAGTTCCTGAATTTCAACATCAGAGACATCAGAGTGGCAGCATCAGAAACAACACCTTCCAAACAAAGGAGCATTTCTACTAGTAGTAGTGTTACCACTGGAAACAGTGATGGACTCCTTCTAGCAACAGGGGGAGGGCTAACACTAGTGATATCATGCAATGCTTTGATATTTTTGGTGGGGACTAATACTGCATTTTCTTGTTTGGAAATCACATGGGGAGAAATGGTTGGGGGGGGAAGTTTTTATTTTCCTGTATTGCAATCTTGTTTTTGTGTAGTATTTGTAGAACAGAACAGAACAGAACAGAACAGAACAGAACAGAACAGAACAGAACAGAACAGAACAGAACAGAACAGAACAGAACAGAACAGAACAGAACAACAATAGCTTTTTCATCAAGCTTTCCATTACTACACATACTAGTACAGTATTGGCCTCCCATTGGAACAACTACTTGTACCACCATTGAACCTTGGGTCCTCCCTGGTAACAAGTTCATGATCTTTCATTATTCCATGAGGTGTTGTTACTAGGAACCATGACAAATAGTAACTTGAATATGATAGTGCTAGTAATGACTGGATGGCTCTGATCCCTGACTTCTAGCAGCAGAAAAATTCAAAAGTTAGAACTTCAAAAAATTACATTTCTGTGTCATATTACTTTTAAGTCCCAAAAATTGCTATGGTCTACAGATCTATTGGTGAAAATGCTGCAAGAATGACTGAATAGCTGCTGGATTTATGATTGATCAAATGATATTTTTAAAACAATGAGCCACTATTAGTATCATGATAAATTCTTGCTATTTGCACCTTGATAAAATGGCTTACAATTTACTAGTATRGTTAATTTATCCAATTGATTCTGTTGCTGCTATGGACAATGATTATTAGAACTAGTAGTACTAGTAGTGATGCACAAGGAAGAAATACTCTGCTGTTTGTTCCTGGTGTATTACATACTACAACTACTAATAATAGTAAGATGTAGAAGGGTTCAATTCTGGATCTGGTCAAAAATCTATTTGGGAGTGATATGAGAACTTATTGAAGACCAGCTTTCTGGTGGAAAATTGTAGTCAATAGGAAAGAAGAAATAGCTATGGTGATTGTTATAAAGAGGAGACAAACAACTATAAGAGTTAAAATTGTTACATTGAATATCATTGAGCTCTTGAGAGATTGAGTGAACAACCAGGGTGGAAATGTTGGGCAACAAATGAATGCAGTTAAATAATTTTATTATTGTTTAGCAAAAGAATCTCAAATTTTTAAAGTAAGAAAATACTAGTAGTAGTTACACAAATGCATATCCTTATGTGTGATTTACATTGATAAAATTAATTGTTCACTTGCTGAAACAGTTTGAAAATGACGGTATTGAGAATTAAGTGACTACTATCACTGAAAATTATGGCTCTTGTTTTGTAAATTGAAATCAGAATTAAAAAATTAACTTTAACACTAGTAATAGTAATGTGAGCCTTTGTCCCAGGGTTGATAATCTTGAAAATGACAGGTGATCCAAGGCAGTAAATCTTGAAACTTGTTACAGGAAATCCAAGTCAGTATTTTGTCAGGGTATATTTTATCATACATTGTACTTTATTTTGACATATTGAGAGACAAGCAACTTGAAGAGAATTCAAAAGGCCATGTCACTTTGTACCTGGAATTATTTTGACAACTCACCAACATCATGTTCGAACAGCTTGAGCTTTGTCCACATTAGTCAAATTCTATTGTTTGAAAGGAATGATAGCAATCAAATGACACAAAAGACATCACCAGAGCTGAGTTGCCTTCAATAATCATGGGATAGCCCCTACAGCAGTCATCCATTACAAAAGCACTTCCTCTGTCCATAAATCAATGTCCAGTTTGCACCTATTCTTGCAAAATAAGCTTAATATTTGGGCATTTGGAATACTTCTTTTTGTGTCATACTGATTTAATCTAGTAGTATACTCTTGTGTTTAGTGCTATGGATTTATGTCATTGGTTCACTCTTTATAGCCAATCAAAGAGGGCTGTTTTGGGCATATCAATTTGATTCTACTGTTGTTTGGCTTCTCCCTTTGAAGAACTATATGACAAGGTAATGTTCCTTTGTGCCACAGCATAAAAAAATCTTAATATTATATTTAACCTTGTGACCTAGAAGAGGCACTATATGGCCAGAACCAGAGCCTCCTCTCTGAACTAGGGAGAAGAATGCTACTAGCTCCTCCAAGGGGTGTCACCTCCCTCCCAGGAGGTTTTGTGGAGACGCAACCAAGTATCAAGCACACTGACAGACCAATGAAGGCCTTGGGCTGGATTTAGAGGACACAAAAGGAGGTGGTTTGCAGTCTGGATGGATGAGAACCATGCCATTATTGTTTCAAAGGGCACTGCCAAGCCAAAAGGCAAGTCCTATTGCAGTGATCAAGNTGATCCTTATCAGGAGATCAAATGGAGAGGTCATGGTCAGGGAGTTCCTGAATTTCAACATCAGAGACATCAGAGTGGCAGCATCAGAAACAAC